GCGAAGAAACAGCAAGAAGGAACAAAGAGACGGGAGCCCTCATTATTGCTTATTATCGTACCCCAACACGATACACAGGGCAAGAGACTGAAAATCATGGCGGAATCCTCTTAGCCCTCTCTCCGCAATGGGAAAAAAGTGTCTGCTTGCACTTCAATTTTCTCTTTTTTACTTTATGTTTACTTACAATTCACTTACGCCGCTTAGTTATGGCCTCCGCACCGACCTCTTACACAGATTTACAAAAAAAAAAAGGGAAAAAAATAAAAAAAAATGTTTTGCTTTTGCACCTTATCTCTTAGTGGCTCTTCTATGCTCCACTGCTGCTCATCTCATTTATCCCAGCCAATAAGCCCTGGCATGAATTCTGACGCCCACCTCACCACCACCTGCACATACGTGTTGGGGTCACGGTCCACAACCCTAATCACCCCACCCCTCCTCTTCAAGGGAGAATAACAAGACCATGATTCATTTCTCCCAGCACGGAGGACAAGCAAGAGAACAGAACATTGTGCTTCCCCCTCCCCACATCTGGTAGCCGCCCTTCACATTCCACCCGCTGGCGGCAAAAAGAAACTCAAATTTAACGCCGACCGCTGTTGCCACCGCGTCCTCCACGGAAGCCACCACGATCGCCACCGCGTCCTCCACGGAAGCCACCACGATCGCCACCACGTCCTCCACGGAAGCCACCACGATCGCCACCGCGTCCTCCACGGAAGCCACCACGATCGCCACCACGTCCTCCACGGAAGCCACCACGATCACCACCGCGTCCTCCACGGAAGCCACCACGATCGCCACCACGTCCTCCACGGAAGCCACCACGATCACCATCGCGTCCTCCACGGAAGCCACCACGATCACCACCGCGTCCTCCACGGAAGCCACCACGATCGCCACCACGTCCTCCACGGAAGCCACCACGATCACCACCGCGTCCACCACGGAAGCCACCGCGGTTCCCACCGCGGAATCCAGCCTGTTCGGTGCGTTGTAGCTTGGTGGGCTGCTCGCATTCCTCCTCATCGTCATCAACCTCCTCATCGTCGTCGTCATCTTCTTCGTCCTCTTCGTCGTCATCATCCTCATCGACGTCGTCTTCATTGGGGTGGGCAGCGGGTTTGCCATTTCTTTCCCTCAAGACCATATCACCATCATCATCGTCATCATCATCATCATCATCATCATCTTCATCATCGCCATCATCATCCTCCTCGTCGTCATCATCCTCATCAATTTCGTCGTCATCGGCATGGGCGGCATTGGCGGTTTTCCTCTTCCTCTGAGCCACATCCTCGTCGTCATTGTCGTCATCGTCTTCGTCCATATCGTCGCTGAGGTCTTGGCCGTTAAGGCTGTCCATGTCGTTGCCGACCGGCTGAATGTATCCAGTCACGTGCACACAGCCCGCCCCTGTCGCGGTCAGCGTCGTGGGCTCCGTAAAGACAAGATCGGTACTCATCTGAAAGAGGTTCTTCTTGGGGTCAAGCGTGGCGATTGTGAACTGCTTCCCCTGAAAGGAAACAATGAGCGAAATCGCAGCACTGGCATTGGCGGGAAGAGCAAGCTGCGTCAGGCGGAGGGCGTGTTCCTCGGGAATCTTCGGCTTCACCTGCTGCCCAGAAGCAACTTCAACACCGTAAAATCCCTCCATCATTACCCTGATGCGTTGTTAAAAAAAAAAAAACGGGAAACAAACTTCTCTTCTATATAGAAATCCATAAAGAAAAAGAGAAAAAAAATGTATTTGTGCCTGTACCCAAGAGGCCAATCAATCCAAAAAAAAAAAAAGTGTAAACAGTAATGGAGACATAAAACCAAATCAGGACCACCCCTCATCAAAGTAAATCGAATGCATGACTGCCACACCTCTGTGTGGTCGCCATGGTGACCTATTCCTAGAAACAGCAAAGACAAAATAGAGGAAACGAAAAGAATGTCTGGGTAAAATTAGTGAGGGAAAAAGCAGCAATAAGCAGGCGAAGAAACAGCAAGAAGAAACAAAGAGAAGGGAGCCCTCATTATCGCTTCTTATCGCACCCCAACACGACACACAGGGCAAGAGACTGGAAATCATGGCGGAATCCTCTTAGCCCTCTCTCCGTAATGGAAAAAAAGTGTCTGCTTGCATTTCAATTTTCTTTTTTTACTTTATGTTTACTTAAAATTCACTTACGCCGCTTAGTTATGGGTTCCGCACCGACCTCTTACACAGATTTACAAAAAAAAAAGGGGGAAAAAATAAAAGAAAAGTTTTGCTTGTGCACCTTATCTCTTAGTGGCTTTTCTGTGCTCCACTGCTGCTCATCTCATTTATCCTAGCCAATAAGCCGTGTCATGAATTCTGACGCCCACCTCACCACCACCTGCACATACGTGTTGGGGTCACGGTCCACAACCCTAATCACCCCACCCCTCCTCTTCAAGGGAGAATAACAAGACCATGATTCATGTCTCCCAGCACGGAGGACAAGCAAGAGAACAGAACATTTTGCTTCCCCCTCCCCACATCTGCTAGCCGCCCTTCACATTCCACCCGCTGACGGCAAAAAGAGAATCCAAATTAACGCCGACCGCGGTTGCCACCGCGACCACCACGGAAGCCACCACGATCACCGCCGCGTCCACCACGGAAGCCGCCACGATCACCGCCGCGTCCACCATGGAAGCCACCACGATCACCGCCGCGTCCACCACGGAAGCCACCACGATCACCGCCGCGTCCACCACGGAAGCCGCCACGATCACCGCCGCGTCCACCACGGAAGCCACCACGATCACCGCCGCGTCCACCACGGAAGCCACCACGATCACCGCCGCGTCCACCATGGAAGCCACCACGATCACCGCCGCGTCCACCACGGAAGCCACCACGATCACCGCCGCGTCCACCATGGAAGCCACCGCGGTTCCCACCGCGGAATCCAGCCTGTTCGGTGCGCTGTATCTTGGTGGGCTGCTCGTATTCCTCCTCATCGTCATCAACTTCCTCATCGTCGTCATCATCTTCTTCGTCCTCTTCGTCGTCATCATCGGGGTGGGCAGCGGTCCTGCCATTTCTTGTCTTGGTGGGCTGCTCGCATTCCTCCTCATCGTCATCAACTTCCTCATCGTCGTCATCATCTTCTTCGTCCTCTTCGTCGTCGTCATCATCCTCATCGAGTTCGTCGTCGTCGGCATGGGCGGCATTCGCGGTTTTCCTCTTCCTCTGAGCCACATCCTCGTCGTCATTGTCGTCGTCGTCTTCGTCCATATCGTCGCTGAGGTCTTGGCCGTCAAAGCTGTCCATGTCGTTGCCGACCGGCTGAATGTATCCAGTCACATGCACACAGCCCGCCCCTGTCGCGGTCAGCGTCGTGGGCTCCGTAAAGACAAGATCGGTACTCATCTGAAAGAGGTTCTTCTTGGGGTCAAGCGTGGCGATTGTGAACTGCTTCCCCTGAAAGGAAACAATGAGCGAAATCGCAGCACTGGCATTGGCGGGAAGAGCAAGCTGCGTCAGGCGGAGGGCGTGTTCCTCGGGAATCTTCGGCTTCACCTGCTGCCCAGAAGCAACTTCAACGCCGTAAAATCCCTCCATCATTACCTTGATGCTTTTTTGTGTGTTTTAAATGCCCACGGCAAGATTTTAATCTCATGCATTCACAACATAATAACAAAAATAAGAAAACAGTATAAAATAAAAACCAATATCTCAAGAAGCAAAAAAAGTATAAAGGCAAAATTTACCAAAGTTTTGATGACTTTAACATTCAACGCATTCCAAAAGGGGGATGCGTTCCCGCAACAAAAGAAACAAAAAAAAACGCTTTTGGGAAGGCACTCAGTCTCTATACTTCCCATGTCACAACGGTTAACCAGTTTTGGTGGTGTGCAGCAACAAGCTGCAGCATACCATCAGTTACTCGAACCCAGGAAATGCCGCTAATGCCATCCTCTATTGCAGTGGGATACACAGAATCATCGCCAGAAATTTCTTGAGCTCCATTGTCTTCACAAAAAGAATCATTTTTTTGCTTTTTGTTTGACACCTCTGGCGGGCAACTCTCTAAGGTGGAAGCCGTGGCAAAGAAAGACGGAGACGTTGGAACGGTAAGGGTAATTGCACTGTGCTTCGCGTAGGTTGCCATCCTTCGGTCAAGTAGAATTACTTGATGCGAAATACCTGTCAAACACAGCCAATGACGGTCAAAGCTTGCTTGGTACCTGGAGTGTGATACTTTTTGGCGCACCGGGCCGCCCTCACAGAAGTGATTTGGCGTCACGCCCAATAGCATACGCATGGTGTTAACATAAAAGACCTCCGGACTCACCAAGTCAAAGGCGCCATAGCGTTGTCGACAATCTTTGCGTTGGGATTTCGTAGGAGAGCCATCTGTCTCGCTCAGTTTGTTGTCGTCTACCCCAAAATGTAACAGCCTCCCATCTAATGTGGCGATAATTGGGCCAAACTCCGGCGACGAGTAAGGTGTTGAACAAAGAAACCTCGCCACAGTTCTTGTGGGTGGAGGTGGCTCAAATCCACAACCCTCGCCCCCAGCGGAGCTGCACTTCACGACAACGGTGCGGTTTTCGTATGGTGAGGCACAAAGAATGGCGCCCTCCAAACACTGGGAAAGAAAGGCAGATTTGGCTCCCCACACTCCAAGTCCGTCGCTTTTGTCATTCTCACAGCGCAAAGGAGGAAACACCGTGCAGATGTGTGTCACTGGGAACATTGATGTGGAGAGACCAGAGAGCGGCAAACGATGTACAACGCTAGCGCACATCCCATTTTCAAGTAAAACAACAAGAACTCCGTGACACACGGTTCCGACAGCCAAGAAAGGTCGGTCGTAGACTTCACTAATATCAAGCGGAACTATGAAAGAAGGAAGAAGAAATGAACCCGTGCATTCAATGGACTCCGTCACTAGCTTGGGAAATACTTCGGAGCTGTGCGTGCTACGCCCCAAATTTAGCGAAATCAAACGCTCTTCACACGGCAAGGATATGATAAGACACTTGGAAAACTGATGAAGCCACAATGTACGGTACGGCAAGGATCTAAAAAAGAATGTACGCAATGAACCAGCTGAGCCCACTTCTTCTTCTTTTGCTGAAGGTCCATCACAAATCCCCGCCCCATCAGCTTGCGTGTCAAAGGAAGAGGGCAAATTCTGAACGATATTAGAAGCTCGTTCAAGATCCTGCACAGTCCCAACAAGAAGCTCCGCAAAACTTGGCGGCAAATCCTGGTACGGCCTTGCTGAAGTACGCCAAAAAACACCGTTCTCCTGTTCTGTACTGCCTTCACGCGGTCTTGGCAAAAGCGGGAGCAAAAATCGCTCCCCGCAATTCACAACAACTGCCACCCGGCGGTTCTCCTCCCGAAGAAAAGGTTCGCCACGGAGCTCAACAATAGAAGTGGGCCCGACATTTCTGGGACCACGTTCACACACCACATCCAACTGATTTGTCGAGGATACAGGCCAACACCACATCAGCTTAAACTGAGATGTCACCGATGGTTGCATTGCATTCCTCACCGACTTGTCAAAAAGAAATTCTTTTTTTTCTTCTCCGCGTTCCCGCCTGGTATCTTCAGCCAAATCGGAAAAACTTGTTTCATAGCCCGTGTGTGCAACCCGCGTAGAGCCACAGACGGTCTTTTTTTGTTGTTCTTGCTCTCTTTTCCTTTGCCGTTGTTGCGTAGAGGCCTCAGCATCGTGGGAAGCCAAACAAACTCGGCTGAGGAACGGTGCATTGCTGTCAAGCTCATCGTCATCCGGGACAACCTCTTCACCGCGTCCCCTCTTCATATGGCCCTTCGCTGCACTCATACAGAAGTAAACAGAACAAAGAAGCAGGCAATACAAATTCCTTTTTTTTCGTTTTTTTCTGTTTTGTTTTGTTTTTCAGTTTTTTTTTTTTTTTTTTTTTTTTTTTTTTTTGCTTCTGCCGCCCACTAAAAGAAGCCAAAAAAACAAAATATTCACAAAAGAAACTACCGAGAAACCGTTAACACAGATGCAATATCTACTTATCAACATGGCTGCAAAAGGAAAACTCTCAGGCTTCTCTCAAAACGCCGCAAAAAAAAAAAAAAAAAAAAGGTAAATAAAAAGAAAGATCCAGACAAATTGGCACAAATTCAGTAATAAAGTCAAATGTCGCTCATCTCCTTGTACATCGTCCAAAATGGCTTCTACTTTCTTGAAAAAGGGGCAGTGGCCATCGGAGCAATTGGCAGTGGTATGGGTACTGGCACGGGAGCAGATGTCAGTGGCACCAACTGCGGTCTTGGATCCCCAGCCACAGGGTTTGGTATTGAAAGCGGTACAGGCACAGATACCGTCGAAGACACCCCAGATGGAACCAAAGAAGCAGTATTTGAAGTGGCAGCAGCGGCTGGTGCGGGAGGCGGCACCAACTGCTGAGAAATAGGAACACCACTAGAAACCCCCAATAAGCCTGAACTCGGATTAATCTGCTGTGACGTCTGAGGTAAGGTACTCGATGAAATAGGATGCCCCACGGCAGGATCAGGTGTAGGCACATGTACAGGAACCGGCACTGGCACAACTGATTGCGCAGAAAAATGTCCTGGTGCCGTCGGAGATGTCAAGGGCGCCGGTACAGTGACTGAAGGTGACCGGGAAGCAATTGCAGAAGTATTGGCCTGTGCGGATGCAGGGGGCGAGAAACCCACAGGTACATGAGTTCCCGAGTTGAATGTACCCACTCCTGGAGGAAACACGCCTGGCAGCGACGGCCGTACCGTGGGTATAGACTGGCGCCCAGTAGGTAATGGAACCTCCTCAGAAATTTGCACAGGGACCGATAAATTGCCGGTGCGTGATGGTGGGGAGGCATCTGTGGTCAGAGCATGAGACAAAGCTCGGACGGAGAGTGGTCTCGATGCCATAGATGGATTCGAAGAAGAGAAAACACCTGTAAAATCGGAAGCGGGGTGCACTACTTGTGGAGAAAACATCGGTGCAGTTGCAGTCAAACTCAGGTTGCTACTTTTACTGGCTTCCACTGTTGATGTTGGTTGTGCGGGCCGTGCGTCCGTAGCTCCACCCACAGTTGGTGTTCGAGGAGATTGGGAGTAATCCAACGGCCGGGACAAGTACTGCGTGGACATCTCTTTGGCTGACCGCATGGCCGTAGAAAGTTGCTCCCGTAACGATGCAATCTCCGCATTTAGCCCCTTCACGACAGACGCCTGATCAAGCACCTCCTTTTCTCTGGTAGCAGAAATCGTCTGTAGCTCTTGTGTCCTCTTCTCTAGTAAGTTCTTGTCACGCTTCAGGGCGTCTATGGTTTCCTGAAGACGAGACAACTCGGTTTCCTTTTCGCTCAGCAAACCCTGCATTTTTGGTGCCGCTGAGGCAGACTGCGACTGTAACTGAGTGTAGCTGTCCTTCCACGATTGTGCACTCTGCGTAGCCTCCTCCAAACTGCGACGAAGTTGTTTTTCCTTCAACTCGGCGTCGCTCACATAACTTTTCATCCGCACCTCCACTTCCTCCTGCATTCGCCGCGCCGCCGTCAACTCGTCCTGCAGACCAACAACTCGGCGCCGTGTTTCGGCAAGATCGTGACGCAACTCTTGGAGTTCACTGTCCTTTGCACGGGTGGCGGTCTCTTGATCGTGGCGCAGCTGCTCCAACTCCTGCTGCAGTTTGCGATTTCGCGAGGTCAAATCGGCAACAGAGCCGCCCTTCCGCTTAAGTTCCTCAACGGTTTCCTGCAGCTCGGCGAGGGCGCGATCTTTCTCATCATGTTTTTGTTGAATCCGCTCGCCATCACGCCGCGCAGCTTCTGACTTCTCCAGTTCAATCTCCAAACGCCGCTGCTTGTCTTCGCATCGCTGCTCCGCCTCTCGCAGCTGACGCACCAGCTGCCCCTTCTCCAACTCCAAAGCGCGTCTCGCCTCTTCATGGCGCTCATTCATTCGCCTAAATGTCGTCTCAAACTCCTTCGCTGCGTCACGTGTGACCGCGCTCTCGCTTTTGCGTTGATTCTTGCGAACCTGCTGCAGTTCCTCCGCATGCGCCTCCCTCGCACTAGTGAGTTGATCCATAAGTTGTTGACTTTCTTCTCGTAATGAACGTAGCTCCGCGTCGTGTCGCACTGTCAAAGCCTCCATCTCCAACTGCAGCGCCTGTTGAGCCTTACGCCCATCGTCACACTCCTGTTCTATTTCTCGAGATCGTCGCTCTAAACGTTGTTTCGCGTCCACCGCCTCATTCAATTGTTTCCTTATTGTCCGCAACTCCTCCCGTAGTCGTAACTCATCTGCCGATGCCGAAGACGGTTTCAGAGTCGCTCCCGCCAATTTCGTTTTATATTGCTGTACCTCAGTCTCCATTTCACGCAACTGACGGTTTGACGCGTCCAGAGTTTCCTCTAAACGACGAACCTGCGCACGGTGGCTATTCTGTATCTCATGAAGGGTGCGCTCATGCGAGTTCAGTATACGTTGTTGCTCCTCCATAAACCACTGCTTTGTGCTTTGCTTATCCTCTTCAAATGCACGTTGAAGCCGCTCGATTGCCTTTTGGTGTATTTCTCCTATAAAAGTCTCTGTTCCTCGACTGTGGGCATCACCCTCCCTCTGACGACACAGCTCTTCTAACTGTGACGTCAGTTTGGCAAGTTGATTCCGTGTCTCGGAGAGTTGAGACTCACCGTGGGCAACAAGTTGTCGTTCGCGCTCAATCTCTTGACGAAGAGAAGCCGTTTCATTGATGTGTTCCAACTGTAGGCGCTCAAGGCGACTGGTCCACTGCCCTTCAATCGCCCTAAACTCCTCGCGAAGCCGTGCCATCACGGCCTCGGCGGCGCTGTTGACGGAGGCCTCAATGGACTTCTTGTGGTCATCCACAGACTTCTGCGCCTGCAGTCTTAATTCCGCCTCCTCCCGCATTAGTAGCATCTCCCGCTCATGCTGGCGAGCACGTAATCGGTCTTCTTCCTCCATGCGTCGACGCCGTTGTTCCTCCATCTCCTTTGCCCTCTCGTGTTTCCATTCCTCCAGCTCCCTCTCCTGCGCGAGTATGCGTTTCTGTTGTTCCTCAGTACGCTTCGCCCGCTCCATCTCAATTTCTTTTGCCAGGTCAAGCATCCGCTGCCGCTCTTCAGCGAGCATCGCCTCTCGCTCACGTTGACGGTCCCAGCGCATGCGTTCCTCGTCAGCATGACGCAGTCGATCAAACTCAGATCTCAGAACAATCTCCCTACGGACCAACCCTGCCTCCATCTGCCTAGTATGCAGCATCGGGCCGGAAATACCAAGAAATGTCCTCCCCATCGCCGCACCAGGCACACTTGTTTCTCCAAAACGTTGGGGAAAGCAGTCAATTCCGATTGATGGTACTTTGGTCAGTGCGGTTGGCGTGAGCTTCAGCAAAGCAGAAGATGATGCAGATTGAGAAGAAAGAACTGGTGGCATCGCAGCGCTAAACGTTGCTGTGTAATCCCGAAAAGTAGGCGCTGTAACAGTGTCCGCCATATTTCACTGTCTTTTCTTTTTTACTAATGTTGTCTTCTGCTTATTTCTTAGGCGCTCAAGATGGATGCGTGCGGTTTTGTCGTTTTCCTGCGCCTTCAGCCTCCTCTTCGTTTCTAACCTCCCTTCCTGTGCTCCTTGGCAGTAGTGGAGAAAAACCGGTGTGAAGAAGTGGTGCCCCGCCGGCTGTTGGCGGCTTCAGTCATCCTGTGTGCAGGAAAAAGAGAGGGAGGAAAAGATGTGAGTGTATGTGTATGAATGTGTGTATAAAAAATTCGTGTCCGCAGAAACAATGCAAAAAGGGACGTCGCCATTCTGGAAAAGTAAGCAAGTCCCTTCCATGGAAGCACACTTTCACAAAAAAAAAAAAAAAAATGAACAGAAAACATCAATAATAATAAATAAATAAAAATAATGGAAGAAAATGGAGTGGCACAGCTGATGTAATGTCAAATCCATAATTCAGAACGCATCAATCGTCACAATATCACTAATGCTACACATTGAAATATATGTAGATATGGGCCTATGCAATTCATCTGTTTATATAAAGAAATTCAAATTACATGGAATCCCAGCGCAATATTAAAAAGTGGAGCAGTATTCTCACTTGTATACGTATTTACATTAGCGCAAATCATTAAATCCCAATTCCGTTATTATACATCCAAGCATCACGAAGAGAGACTTGTAATTGTCTCTGCATTAAGTTTCTTCATGTTATTTGCAGCACCCATCGCCCTGCTGCTAAGGCGCTTCAAGGAAGAAGGTAACTCTACCCCCAGAAGATGCATGTCATGACGCACACTCCGCAGTACTGCCTCCGTCTCACAACTCCGTTCCTTCAATACGGATTCTAGTCGAACTTGCCCCCTGAGGAAAATGAGGGTTATATTGTTTAGTAGACTGGCATAACGCACATTGTGTAACAGTATCCATGGACGAAAAGACATTGCAGAAAACACCTCCTGCCACACGGCAAGAAAAAACCCTATAGGATTCCTCTTGGATACAAGAATATCGTTCGATCCCATCAATGAGCTTTTTTCGCCCGCTTGTGGAGGCTCTTTTGATGCAGAAGAACCGTTATCTACGTGTGTTCCTGCTGGCTCTTTTGTTGTTCCAGTGGCACCGTGTATAGACGGCTGATCCCCAAACCCGACACATGCCAAATTGCCTCCGCGGTCAGATGGCAATGGGGTCATCTCAGTCATCTCCATCGGGGCCCAAAAAACATCTTGATATTCCCGCAGCTGCTGCAACAAAGTAGCGTTCTGCGGCTGAATGTAGTCTACGGAACGTAACTGCCGGGCATCGCTCTCCCAGTCGGCCTTCAAAAGATACGCTAAAGTCTTTGCAGCACACCCCGCGTATTGCCCATTCCATCCGTCATCCAAGTGCTTCACATAAAGCACCAGCTGATCCTGACAAAGAGAGCTTCGCAAACCCGTTACAAACGCCTCCAGCTCCTGATCCGGCCGCATCTCAAGAAGACGGAGACGTGGAATTTCGCTCAACATCGAACGCAACAGTCTTCGCTCAGCGGAATCATACGTCTCTCGAGAGTTCACAGTCGTCACCAGCTGCAACAACTTACCTTTCGCAATCTTCCGTTGAACTTCACACATCTTCACAAGAGCAGGAAAGGCATTTGCAAGCTCTGCCATAAAGTAGTTGATGACCTCCGTGTTGAGACGAGCAAGCAATAGTGATAACTCCTTCCTCATTGTCAGCTTCAGCTCTCGTGCATTTTGTGCAACAAAAGGTATATGATGCTTCATATCCTCCATCAGACTCCCTAAATTAGGGGGAAGCGTAGACGCATCCGCATCCAACGAATCACGTATTTCCTCTTGATCCATCGAACGATCTTTAGCATGACCCAACGTGTTCTCGCCAAGGTTTTGATTCTTCTCCTCAATAATAGACTGCAGTTGTAACATTTGAGTTTGGTAACGCTGAGTCACGTAAACATCCAAAAACCGATGGTACTGCCTGCATAGTCTATTCCGCGCTTTCATAGATGAGGAGGAAAATGGCGGCAGCAATGGACAACTGCGTGTGGATGTCAACATCTGCGCACTGCCAGGACGATAAACCCCATACCGTACATTCTCTTCGTCCAGCAATGTCACTAAAGTCCACCAAAAACGAATAGTGAGCTCCTCAAATCGTTTTTGCACCCTAAACACAATACTTTGGGTCATCTGCCGGGGGATGGACTCCTCCTTCAGTTGCCGCACTGCCGATTTCGCCCTGTCATCATCTCGATTTATTCGCTGCAAATCACTTTGAAGACCTTCTAATCGCTGCCAAAGAATTTTCTGCGCCTGTAGAAGCACCAAATGCATCTGCCTGCACCAAATCACGAGGGAGAGAGCGATCTGGGAAACAGTATGGTGGAGGGAGTTCCACTCAAAGCACCGTACAATATGGAGCAGTTGGCATGCCCCAGACTCTTTCCACACGTCTCTGAGGGCGTGTTGCAACACAAGCTCTTCCATTTGTCCGGGCGAAAAACTGCCTCTGCGCTTTTTAAATCGTTGTCCATACATCACATCACAAAATTCCGTTATCGCTACCTGCAATTTACCCTCTGTGTTCACTACCCCCGATGTTATTGGAAGAAAAGTAGAGACGTTCAGTGGAAATAGTGGCTCAAGTGCGGAAAACGTCGTTGGGGGACCATCATCTGCGTCCAATAAATCCATCCTCGCCAACCGTGCCTCGTAAATCTCTGTGAGGACATCCCTTGTAACCCGACTCATAGGACCACTAAAAGGGATGACCTGCCAACTATCCACATGGATGCCAAAGAGTCGTAACATTTCCCTTTGAAACATTGCGACAAGTTCCGGTAGACTATTCGCCATCGGTGGTGATCGATTGACAAGTTGCTTATCTGTCGTCTGCACTCCTTCAGAACGCAACACTATGGCGTCCGAAAAGGTTAACACATAAAATGTTATGTCGGAGATAAGCTGACAAATAATTTGACAATCATCCCCTTCCTCATCATGAGCAAAACCCTTCTTTTCCTGCGAACAATGTCGCTGCTGTTGATTGGAAGGTGAGGTGACATGTTCACCGCCATCGTCTTTGCATCGATCTCCCTCAGTGAGAGTAGCAAAGGGTTCAAAGAATTCATTCATGATGGCCACCATTCGGTGCGTGCCAACCACTTCGCAGGGAAGAGTAAAAAAAAACGCCTCGGCACACAGAGAGTCGGACAATTGAACGGCTGTCGTCCCCTCGCCTTCCCACCGCACACCGCCGCCCACATTTTCCTGCAACAGCCAGAACGGTGCTCGACACGGGTTGGATGATCTCACACCCGCTCCCACGGAACCTGCAGATGCGGACGGCGCGTTCGTCTGCCTGGAACCAGAAACACCGCTATTGGTTGTTAGTGAATGAATACCATTAGCCTGATCGCACAACTTCTTCTCCCCCTCCCGTAGCAAATGCGCAGCATCCCCTTTTTTCCTTCGAATCCGATCAACAATGGTAATATCAAACCTACCAGATATCATCACCATGCCACCATGGGGCGAATTTTTATCCATGCCAGAGACAACGTCACTCCCCGCGGACTTCGACATACGACGCCCAGAAATTGATGCCAACTTCACAAGTCTGAGGGGCTGCCTAATTCTTGCCCCATCGTTCCCACGACCATATCGCCAACGGGAACGTTCATTCAGGAAGGGTAGGTTAGATACCTCGTGCTGCGCAGCATCTTCAACATTGTGGTTGGTGTCCGGTTTATTGCCGCGCTCCGATGGCACAAATATACTTGCGTTGGATGTTGATGAACAAAGAATACCCTCTAATTCCTCGTGCTCATCCATGCCATTCATCCCATTTGGGTTTTGGCACGACAAGCCTCCTAACTTGGAAAAACTGGTGCTGCAATCACTAATTCGATTTACGCTGTGACTTTCAAGGGAGGTAGAAGAAGAATTCATCGGATGTGAAGATAGAATCTTCCTTAATGAATGTTCACTCTTATCGCACTCCTCAGCCTTAGAGACAGCGGTGGCTCCAGAATCCAATTTCGTCTGGGCGTGGCGTCGTTGAAGGATAAAATCAATGAGTGTGCTTTTCCCAGATTGTGAAGGTCCGGTGACCACAAGACGAGGAAAACGAGAAAGCGCTTGTCCCCTTCGTATGCAGTGACGACAATTCCGCAGACTATCCATCATCGTCTTCAGTAGGGCTCGCATTTGTAACAATTTATCCGTCGTATCTGTAAGAAGGGCAGAGGGCTCCCTAACAGCATTCGCGAGTTGCTCCACCTCCATAAAAAGAACTGAGAGTAATGGAGTTACCGATGGCGCCCTCACGGCGGTAACTTTATTCATCTCCGGCGGCATCCTCTTTCCTTTCAATGGTGACGGTGCCACCGCCGCGCGGACTGTGGCGGAGTCCTCCGTTTCTGCTTTCACCTCCGGGTTCACGCTTGTCGACACCATCTTCTCTGCAAACACGTCCCTTCAATTGTTTTCTTTATTTTTATTTATTTATTTTTTTTTCTTTCGTCTTCCGCCGCTACTCTCCAGTCCGATCCAACGGTGGCGGCGCGTGGCAAGAAGATCGCACGCAAACAACAAAATGCCCCCACGCTGGGGAGGCAGAAATCCCCCAAGAAAACAAAAAATCACACCCTGATGCAGATGCTCCTGCAAAAAGAAAAGAAAAAAAAAAACAGGGGCAGAAAAACAGTAAGCAGACTGGAGCAGAGGAGGAAAAAAAAAAAAGAGGGCCGGAACAACAGCAGCAACAGCACCAACGACGGTAAGAAAACAAAAAAAAAAAAAAAAAGAAGGAAACGTTTGTGTGCATTCCCTCTGCGTGTGAGTGCAGTTATAATTGCTTATTTGCTTATGCTTTAAGAGGAACTTTAAATTCCTCCAATTTATCAATTATTTGACAGCGCTTTTACCAATCTTGGGACTACCAGTTTTCAATGGATCGTCCCTCCTCCATTGTGTGGTGCAATGATCGATAGGGAAGAAAGAAAAACAACAAAATGAAAGAAAAAAAAAAAGAATTAATGCCTGATAGGAAATGGTAAAGAGCACGTCGTTATCGAACATTACCCACCGTGAGGGCGAGTCCCTCCACTTTCTTTGCCTCTTCGTTACGCCTCATCCCTCCCCTCGCTTCTTTCCTCTCGCATATAAACTTCAAATCAGAACATATTAAAAGTAAAAAAGAAAGAAAAAAAAAAAAGAAAAGAAAAAAAAAGAAAACAGGTGTTTATATATATATATATAAGCGTGCTTGCGTGTGTGTCATGGAGCAGAGTACTTCCCAGTTATTTGATTTTCACATCATATTATTATTATTATCTTCTTTTTCTTTTTTTTGCTTTTTTTTTTTTTCTTTTCGGTTTGTTTGCTTGTTTTTGTATATTTTTCCTAAGAAGAAGAATGAAGGGTCGTAAAGCGTTCCACGCAAAAACATGTCGACATCACAGCCTTTGTGCCGTGCATGTTTTGCTTCTCTGTCGTTTCCCGCTCCCGTATTGGCGTTCTTTTCTTTTTTTTTTTTTTTTTTTTGCTCCGCCACTTCAGACAAGATAGGCCGGGGCTGTCAGCAGCGGCAGCATCGCATCAATTTGAATGTTGGCGGCAACGAAGCGTGGCTTGTGTTCCAACTCCCACCCCTCGCGGTGCGAGCGCCACCATTCCTCAAACGTCCGCTTCACAGCACGTTGCACCTCCGGCGCTGGATCATGCGCATGCGCCGCTAGACGCTCCATAAGGCGGGGCACGTACGGCGGGACGACACCCGGAGTGGCGCATAAAATAGAACACAACGCGAGCAGCAGTGCGATACGTCGACGCTTTCGCATGTTTTCATGGAGTGTGTGGGGGGACTGAAGATGACCCCCAGTCATTGACGCAGCCACTGACGACAGACCGCGCAGCTCCATAAAGCAATCACGAATTATGCGCTCAATCTGCTCCACAGATGCCACCCGTGTGAGAACCGCCAACAGTAGTCTTCCCTCGCTTCGAACGCGCCCGTCGCCGTGTCCGATAGATGCCAAGGCTGCGGACGCAACATTCTGCATGGTCGCGAACTTGCCAATACGATGAAGATTAGTAAGAAGAATACGACTCAGCATGCGGCTAACAGCAACTTTGGCCGGACGTGATTTACCGTACGGCTGCTCCTCCTTGAGGACGCCACAGAGCATCTGCAACATATCATGAATTGTGTTTCTCGGTAAGCGGACATACGCAATGCGCTGCAGTGCAGCCTCCACCCGGATATTTAAAGCATCCATCTCCGGCAAGGCAATGTCTAATGCACGCACAAGAACATTAAGAACGCTCTTCACACGCGCGTTTAAAAGAGGAGGAAGTGGCCTGCAACCAAGCACATGACAAAATGGTCC